ACTGTGTTGCCCAGGCTGGTCTCAAACTCCTGGGCTTGAGCAATCCTCCCACCTTTGGCCTCCCAAAGTGCTTGTGAGCCATTGCACCTGGCCCTGAAATCTGGTTTTGACAATAAAATTTTGTTTTCCAGATTACCTTGTTTTAGAAAAAGATTGATGCAAGAAGTGGCTATCTCCATGATCATTTGTCATGAAAGTTAAAACTTGTTGTAAAACATGGTGATTACTACTATGTAATTTCAGTAATTGGGCACGCTGCTTGAATAAGGTAGTTCTGTTACTTTTGAGTGAAATCAACCTTTTGAGTTTTTGACCTTGGAAGAGTTGTAGCTGAAGACAGGAGTCTGTTTAGGAATGTTTTCTTTTTTATAACTAATGTGGGTTTTTTTTTGTTTTTTTTTTAGTTGGAGTCTCACTCTGTCACGCAGACTGGAGTGCAGTGGCTGCTCCCAGCCACCGCAGCCTCGACCTGCTGGGCTCTGGCGATCCTTCCGCCTCAGCCTTCCAGTATCTGGAACTTACAGGTGCATGCTACCACACCCGGCTAATTTTTGATTTATTGTAGAGATGAGGTCTCGCCAAGTTGCCCAGGCGGGTCTCGAACCCATGGGCTCAGGCAATCCACTCACCTCAGCCTCCCAAGGCATGTGATTATAGCCTGGCTATAACTAATTTGTTAAGTGGCAAAATAAATTTCCAGGATGAATAAGATGATCTTTTTAGGATTAGCAAGTTTCTAAAAGAACAATTTCATTTGAATAAACCGGCTTTTAAGAACCAGCCAAATATTAAATAATTCTGTTCCTAGAAGTTGCAGCCTGAGACAATTATGATTCCATTATTCTACCACTCACACCCACACAATAAGAAATCTAAATATAAATATAAAGTATAGGGAATGAACAGATGGAAACAGGAGAAGATGGGGAATGAAGAATGCAGGAGAGAGAAATCAACCACGTTACCTTCTATGCCTTGTCTTGGGGGAAATAATTTAACTTTCTAAGTATTGTTCAAAGATAAGATGGGAAACTTGCCAGATTTTGTTTCTCTGTTCCAATAGAATTCACTGATTTTTAGCACCTCATCACTTAACCATAACTTTCAGCATTCTGCCATATTTGATTACTTGGCCCTAGTTAATTTGTTAAATAGACTTTATTTTTGAGCAGTTTTAGGTTTATAGAAAAATTGAGCTGAAGGTACAGAGATCACCCACATATTCCTTTACACCTCCCTCCTCTCTTGTTTTTCCGTTTTATTAACATCTCGGCTGGACATGGTGGCTCTTGCTTGCAATCCCAGCAGTTTAGGAGTCTGAGGCAGAAGGATTGTTTGAGCCCAGGAGTTTGAGATCAGCCTGGTCAACATAGTGAGACTCCATCTCTACGAAGAAAGAAAATAATTTTGGGGGGAAAAAAAAGACAAGGCCAGCTGGGCTCGGTGGCTCAGCCTGTAATCCCGTGCCTTTGGGAGATTGAGGTGAGTGGATTGCCTGAGCCCGCGGGTTCGAGACCCGCCTGGG